TGAAGTAAAAATGAAGGGAAGGTATTTGAGGTGAACTATTCCACAGTAAAAATACAATTGTCTAAGTAGGAAACTCCAAGGCACAAACTACAGATGCGCAGGTTTCCCATCTGTCTCTGTGGGGTGCAAGGACTCCTTGATGACAGCTAAACCAAAATATTTACAGAAACATTGAAGCATTTCAATCCTGACACTTGGGTTTGTAATTTTTTTCAACTTTTCAGTTAAAATGCAGATGTTGTAGGCTAATTGTTGCCTATGGGGACAGTCCTTTCAGCTCCTGAGAATCCTCTGTCCCTTCATTCATGCCTTCCATTGTGGCAGTTTTGTTCCTGGAAAAGAGGGTGTTCCCTCAGCTCATTGCCTGATACTGTAATTGATGGAGAAGCTCTTAGAGTAAGGCCTTTTCTTCCCCTCTCAACTCTGAATTTGACTTTGAAATTTCATCTTCTGTGCATCAATATTACATGCAATCTGTTTTTCAGTTTGGGGAAGGCTTAGTGAGGTAGATGACAATCTCTTCAACTGTGCTGTAGATTGAAACAGCCTAGCAGTGTTTCAGCTATTTGCAAAGTTTCCTCAGGTGTTTTAATTATTTAAATTGCCTAAAAATGTGATATGTCTGCTTATTACTGCACACCTAAGGTATTTTTAGTTCCTTTATTGTTGTTGATGCTAATCATATTTAAGACTCTTGCCACGTATATAAGTAATTCCCACAATGATACACTTTGGTCCTGAATAAAAGTATAAATGTTTCTTAACAAGTCAGACATAATAAAACCCAACAATGTTTAGCAGGCTGTGGTACGAATATACTCCTTTCTGTGCCTTACAGTTTAATTTCTACTTTCAACAGAGGATGTTGGAAGGTTTTTCATGTTTTTTTTGGTAATGGTGGGATTTCCGCTTTGTTTCCCTTCAATTTCAAATAAACAGCAAAAGCAGTTACTATGAATTTTGCAAAATATAGGGGGTTTTAATCACCGTTTTTCCAAGAGCTTTAAACAGTTTGTGTTTTTCACATCTGTTAAAAGGAAAGAGTAGAAATTTTGTCCTGGCTAGTGTTGCCAGGAGTTGATTTATTAGGCAAAAGGCCTGTCCTCACAGACCCTGAAAATCTGGGTTGGGTCAAGGGGAGGGACACCTCCAGAGTCCTTTTCTGAGCGTAAACTTAACCTGAGATGCAGATCTGCAAAAGAACTCCCTTTTCTCTGATATGTAACTGGAAGTTCTTGCTCCATGGGTGGAAAGGTGGGTAGTAATTTCCTAAAAATTTCTCTGTTAGACCTATTTCTCCAGTTCTGTGTGGGGTGAATATTCAAAGATGATTGTATTCCCCCCCCCCCCATATCTTGCAGACCTCTGTAGAGATCAGAGAGGGTACAGAGCAAAGGATGTATTTTTTTCATATTCCTCATCGTATTTTCATACACTAAATTGATAGACTTGTTTCTTGTCTTGAAAGCCTGAAAAGAGATTGCTCTTCAGAATACTGTGGTATGTACTGTAAGATGTCCAAACTGTAGAGAATGAAAAAACAAAATATTACTCTACTCACTGACTCCTAGGAAGGATAAGTAGAAATATTTGTTTGCTGTGATAGAGTTAGAGCTGATGTGTCTTTAACAGTGGGATGGATAGTGTGGTGTTTACTTCCTGAATGTGTTGGTTTTGGAACAAGGTATGACACTAATCAATAACAAGCTTTGTCTCCAGTACTTGTGAATCACTGAGAAAGCGTTTCTCTAGAAAGTCAATGTGTGTAAGAAGAAATTAGGGGAGACTTTAAGAGGTTAGTTAGGCTGAATGACTAGGGACACCTTGCTAGTGTGGGGAAAAACGTTGCCATTCCTAATCATTATCTAAGTTGTATTTAAACTAGTCATTTAAAACAAACAACCCTAACAAAAAAAAAAAAGTGAATCAAGAAATTACATGGTGAGCATCTCTTGCTATAATTTGGAAACTCCAGAACTGGATTTTGATAGGGTAGTCCTCCTGCTGCCCTAAAGGAAGGCAGGTTGATCAATGTAGATATACCGCAGGTTATACACACTTGAAAGAAGGATCTACAAGCGCTGAAGGCCACTTGGACCTCAAAGAGAGGGGTGATGAGTACACAGGCTGTTTGAGCTCAGGATCCAGTCTAGAAGTGAGGAAACTTGCAGTCTTCTGCCTGGTAACGGCGAGAGCTGCTGAAACCTGTGGCATGCTGGTGTCACTGTGATGGGGATGCCCTGCAGCAGTGATCTGACACCTTTTGCCTGGAAAAGCTGGGTATAACAGAAGAAAAACAAGTGTTTCGTATTTGTGTACTTGCAATGATTTACCTGAGCTACGTAAAGTGAAGTAGGGTTTTCATGAGGATTATTTCGGGGGGGTGACTATTAAGTCTCTGCTCCCTGCTTTTGTTTGTGCTCCGTTGTCTTTGAATAGAAAAACAGTCATGGCAGCAAAGCTACTTTCTACAATAGTTTGCTGTGGTTGTGTTTTGAGCAGAAGTTTGTTATTTTAAAACGCGGCTCAGTGCCTGTTAGCACCAACATACATAGTTCAGAACAGCAGCTGTGTAGTAAATTCACTTAATAGTCTACGCTACTGCTGAATCTTTTGCTTTTCCTGCTCTGAAACTTTTGGGAGTGTGCAATATCGAGTTTGTTAACGGGTCAGGCCAGCAAAGTGGACTAGTTAATGTGTGGGTACATTGAAGATAAGTGATGATTTATCCCTGGGCAGAAAACAGGCAAAAAAAATAATATTTAAAATATGTTACCTTAAGAAGTGTTTGTGGATTAGATGTCTGATATTACAGAATAATTTGTACTGATTTGCTGCAGTACTGAGTTTCTTGCAGGTTCTAGTACTGAGTGGTGGTGTTGCTGAGATTTAAGCTGTTGTTGATTATTGGTTTCTGAGTAGCACAACACAACCAGATTACATTAATCTTGAGTATTTTATGCGCAAGTCAAACAAAACCACAGCATTTTAAAAGGGTGGTAATTCTAATGATCGCGCATGGTATGTATAATAAGTTTAAAAAAAGAAAATCAACCACAAAACAGTATATGCTACAACAGTAGCTATAACCGATTTGATTTCTCTTTTTCTGTCTTTCATGTCCAGAAACCCATTGTTCAAAAATTAAGGCAAACTAAGCATAAAACTACAAATCTCGTTATGTGTATATGTGCATCCTTATGATGTTTTTCAGCAGTTTTTATATTGAGGCTGAACAAAGCAAAACCTGTTCCATGGGCTTCTGTATTCTATTTGTTTTACACTTATTGATTAACTAGCAAACTATTTACAGTACAAAAAATTCACCAGTAAAGCAGCAGTGTCACTGGCAGTCAAAGAGTAAAGCAAAAACTTCTTTCAAGTAGTCATCAGTAAAGAATTAATAGAGAGAGGTAAAGAATTAATACAGAGAGGTATTTCAAACTTTGGTTCAGTGTTTGATAGGACAGTGTGGTTTTATCTCCTGTATTGGCTTGTTTTGTCAATGTAAATCTTCAGTCGGGTACAAACTAACAGAAATGGGGAAGACTCTGGGAAAGCACACATGATCTTCTGCGGTAGCGGTGTTGCCTCACCTTTGTGCTGGGAAGGGTCACTTGTCTCTGCAGGGCGAGAGGGGAGCGGTGTAATACAGCCCCATTCTTACTGCCTGCCTGGCCCTGTTTGCACGTGTGGTCATTATGACCCTTCCGAGAAACGTTTAACCTGTGTTTTGAGGAAGTATTTTGCTTGTATGCAGCGAACTTGAGGACTTGGGGGAGCCAGGCTTGTTGCTGGTATGCGTTATACTCATTTTACACGGGCATCGCAAATCCACTGCTACTGGAAGTGCCAGAAGTGCGGGACACGTGTGCTTTGTGTGCGTGTGCAGTGATGAGGTGGAGAAACGGCCTCATGAAATAGAGCCATTTGGAAAGGTCTGTGGGCTAGATTTAATTTTCCTGCTAGGTCATTCCTGCCTTGGCCTGTAACTCCTGTTGGCTCGGGTTACAGCTCTTGTGTAGTGGAAGCAGACTCCAGCCCTGATAACCGTCCGGGCGCTTGTTCTACATCGTGATGTTTAAGTGACTGAAAAATAAGTGCTATAAAGCATGTGTCTAATGAATAGTCAGATTGTTAAGGTTTTAAAACGTCGAGCGCTCAAAATAGGAAATGTTTAATGTTTGCCTGTACAACCTCACTACCTTTCCTTTGTGGTGCTTTACTACCATATAGTCTTTAATTACATTAAGACTTGCATAACAGCATGTGGTCATGGTTAAACTGCTAAGTAGAAGTTATTTGAGGTTTGATAAGTTTTTCTAGACCTTGTCTTGAAATTTTCTTTGTCACAGAAAATGTGGCTTTTTCACATGCTGCATTTGTGTCACCTATTTAACAGTATTTTGATGTAATAAAAACTCTTGAAGAGAGTACACTCTAATTTTTTATCTGTTTTGAAGACATTTAAATTATTTTTTAATTATTTAAGTAAATTCAGGAATTGATTGTATTAATTATGAACCTCATATAGCTTGTTGTACCTTTCCTGTAATGAAGCAAACGCATTAATTTTATAAATATTTATGTTTGTGAAATTAGCCTGTTTTCATAACTTGCTTATTTCATTTTCACCACTTGTGTGTTTCAGTTGTGCAAGACTCTTGCAGGTCAACATCGAAATGCAGAGAGAGAAGCTATTTTAAGTGTTTACAAATCTGAAGTGGAATGGAATTGCATACCGTCAAACAATTTACTTCATTGCTGATGCTAAGAGATTATTTAGCATGTAGGAATATTTCTGAACTTTTGTGTTTAGGAAGCTGGTCCATTCTGAGGGCTCTTTTAAAGTGTCATTCTTTGTGTGGTTTCCAAACCACAAGATGTATGCACCCATGTCTCGAAGGTAACTGAATTTTTGAGAGAAGGTCTTGTAAGGCTGCATGAGTGATGTTGAGCTGAAAACATCTGATCATAGTTAAAACTGACTTGGGAGAAAAATGTATGTCTTAACGTCATTTGACTCAGCTCATTTCCCTGGTCAGCCTGTGGCCATTGCAGATTCATACGGCAATGTGCTGGATCGCTTGGTAGGCATCAAGTGAAAAACTTGCTGTGACTGGAGTTAGCAGTAGGAGTGCTGTGACAGAAGCATTTTGACATGTCCAGCCAAAACCTAATTCACCTTTTAAAAAGGAGGGGGGGGCGGGGGCAGATGAAGGGGAGAGAGAATTTCCAACTATAAATGGAGATTAAAAGGAACTGTATTTTAATACTTCAATTGCTTATCATGCAGATATTCCTTCATTATTGTAATAAAAAACAGATATTTTTTTTTCCTCTTACATCAAAACTCATCTTCTGAATAGCTGAAATGTAATAGGACTTGTGTTTTGAGGCTGTTCTGTATGCGGCTTTAATATTACACGATAGGTAACATTTAGAGTAGTTGAAGTTATCAGGCTGAGGTTCAATATCCCCCTTTCGTCCTCATCTACCAGGTTTGTGTTTAAAAAATAAAAAAAGTCCAACAGCTTGTGGTTCTGAAGGAAACATACCAAGGTATTACTGCTTTTTTGCTTGTTTTCAAAAGCATGGGGCTTCTAGGAGATACTGTATACCCAGAGATAAAAATGCACAGTTCTGCTATTTGTGTAGCTCTGTTACTCCTGAAAATGCATCTTAAAGAAGGGAAAAGGGAAAAAAGAAAGAGAAAAAATGAGAAAAGTGCTTTTATGTCAGAACTAAGGAAGTGACCCCGGGGGGTTGCTATAGATTAAACAGGAAATCACACTACAAATTGAACCCAGAACTTGAATTCCAGCTCACCGCTTTAACCGCAAAGACCATCCACTCTCTATTCTCTGCAGACAGGCCACCCAGCTGAAAAAAAAAGCACCTTTGCTTGGGGGGGAAAGCTGCGCCCATGCCATGCCGGGACTGCGGTGGAACTTCCTTGTCCTTCAGCCCTAACAGATAGAAGCTTGCTGCTGGGCGGTTGGTGGTGGTGTCAGCCGTTGGTCTCCGAGTTACTGTTGACTTCTGCGCTTGTGACGACGGTTCATGTTTCTCATTGTCTGAAACGCACGGTGCACGCAGTGTGCTCGTTTCAGGTGCGGCTGGAAGGTTTGTAGGAAAAAGTAGTTCCAGCCTGGGAGAGCTGCTGCGTAAAAGTTCCTACTGTAAAGGAACTGTAGCAGCTCACTGGAATATTTATTGCCTTTGTAGACCAGTAATTTTCTGTACTGTTTTAAACTGGTGCCAGGAAGTATGGCCAGAGCAGTAACTTGAGTTAGTACTGCTAGAGGAGGAGTGTGTACTTTAGGAGAGTTAGGAAACTTAGATTTTATTTTATGCAAGAGCTGCATATTCTAAAATCATGCCGTTGTAACTTTCTGCACTTCACGCCCTTTTTACCTCATCATATCTTTTAGTAGGACTTTTGGAAAGGCTATTTTCTGAAGTGACAGCTTTAGTTCAGTGTAACATGTGCAGCAACTGAGATCATCTCTTCCCGAAGCTGCCCCAACCTTTCAGTCTATATTCAGTAGCAAAGATTGTGTTTCTTGTGTACAGCAACCAGATTAAATTGCTCTTCAGCTCCATCTGCAGGCTTGTATTGTCCATAGAGTCCCATCAACAGAAATTGCACTGTGAAAAGATGGGTGAATGGTAAAGAGGTCATGGTGGCTCTTGCCTTAAAGCTGACAGACCTTCAAGAGTAGATTAGATCAAAACAGTGCTTGGTTGGGCTGTTTCCAACAAGATTCCCTGAAATCTTGTGTCACCTCTACTCTGGATGCTACAGGTGATGGTTTGTCAGCATGCAAGCTGGGCACGCTTGGCATCTGGCTTTCAGGTGGTCGAGTGTAGGTGACTGGAGCAAATTGTGAAGCACTAGTTACTGAAATTGTGTCTGAAGTGAGAGCTGAAACTAAAACGCAAGAACTTGTTCATGTCAGATGACTGATAGTGTTGTACTGATACTGACTAAGGAGTAGGTATTAATTGGGATTGTTGAGCCTGCTTACTTACTCTGCAGCATCAGGAAGGTTTGTGAAGCTTTTAGAAGAACTAACCAGGGGCAGAAGGGAGTATAGAGAGCCGTGAAATTTTTCTTTTTTTTTATTTGACTGTGTTCAAGCTGGTGCCTCATCGGAAATATGGATTTTGCTGCTTCATAAAATAGTGCCACTAGAGTAGTGTGGTTGGGGTGTAGTCCAGTGATACAGAGAGTGAGTATCCCACCGTAAGCAGAAGCTCTTGCTTGTACTAGAAGCAAGAGGGCAGAGGGAAATCTAGCAGTGTGAACTTGGTCTGCTAAAGGTATATTTACAGGAAGAAGAACTAAGAGCAGGAAAAGATTTTAACACTAGACTTTTCACAGTTTATTTTAGTGTATGCAGCATGTGGAAAAATAACTTCTAATGAGATTCACTGCCTAATATGGTACTCGGTTACTATATAAAGTTTAGGAGAAATATGTTTCTTAATCCTATAAAAAATAGCTCATTGGATTGTAAGTTCACAGAGAAAGGTTTTTGCAAGACTTCACACATCAGCTCTGCTAGTGATCAGAATTTCACGTGCTACTGCAATAGAAATATTTTTCTTCACAGAAAATATAAGTTTTGTGTATTTTATGTGCATGAGGTGCTCCCCCTTCTTGATTTCTTGCAAAGTAACAAAGTCTTTGCCATTTATGGTCTTGACCACAATAATTACAGATTTTTGTTTAGTGCATGTGTCCATGAAATGCTCTGAGTTAGCTATACATGGATTTTTGAGACACTGGAGACAGGTGGATATGACTGTGGTTACGCAGAAAATCTGTTGTGGAAGTAGATTGCTTGTTTCATGTTTCCCGAGATTGGCTGACAAGGTGTTATCATTTTATATCACTCAGCACCATAGCAATTTATTTTGTAATATAGCACACAGAACAGAGTGAATTGCTGTTAGTGGTTTTGGATGTTGAATGTGATATGGATAATAGAGAAAAGCAAAGATCTCTGGACCCTCATAGAAGACCTACTGTCTCTGATTTCCATGCTGTTTCTCTCCCCCACCCGATGCTATCGGAGCCTCTTTTCAAATGCAGATACTTAATAAAAAGATTATCGATATGGAAACACAGTGTATACACATCCAGCAAAATATTGCAGTGAAAGAGTCTGTGCAGGAAATAATATTATAAACTGATTTTTTAATGACTGTTTTACCACATCAGTTTGATTATGGGCTCAGTAACAGATTTCAAGATTTTAGGCAATACTAAGGTAAACATGAATGATTTTATTACTTAAGATAATTGAACTATCTCCAAGTAATGAGTAACAAGATGAAGGGAAAGTTTCAGAATTAAATTATGTGGATATAGAAGAAATATAGAAGTGCATCATGTGCTTTTGTTCCCAGTCTTAATAACCGTAGCACATTTTTCTGACTAAAAAGTTTGTCTTGAAATTGCTGACCCTTGGGTGATTTAAGTGGACATTCATTGTATTAAATATGATGTGTGGATATCTGGAACTTACAGTTCAAACTTAGATTTATAGGGTTCCTGTTGTTTGTTCAGTTGAGAAATATATTATTCGTGTAATGGAGGCAGATGTAATCACACTCAGCTTTTTCTTCGGGACAGCTGAATGCAAGCCGGTGTCCTGCACGGTGTAGGCAGAGGGGGCTGTTGCAGAGCAGTTTAAACGGGTCTAAGTTGTGGCTGTTCATTCTTCGTTTCCACGTGCCAGCACTCTGCCTGTGGGGTGTGCCAGTTTAGGAAGGGGATCCAGGAAAGAAAAATGGGAGGAGGAAAGGAAAGGATTAGTTTTTGGGTGTCTCCTTCTGCCTGTGCTGGCCTGCTGCCTGGCCGCAGGAGCACCCGTGCAAGCACAAAGGAGGGGCATTGCTGTTTGGCTGGGAGCGGGCTGGGATCTTGGCAGCCCGCGGTCAGGTTGGCCTAAGCACCCATCACTAACGTAACACCAGGATCTGGCTACGAAGTGTTGTGCGGGCTCGGTGCTGTAATAATGTGATTTTAGAGCTTTTGATTGGTGCAAATCACGAGCAGAGCGAATCTGTGCAAGTTAGAGATGAACAGAAATCCAAGTAGAAACGCCCTGATTCTTTTCTTCTAATTTCATTTTAGGTAAGCTTGGTCTGTGTTACTGTCTTTTATTGTCTGAACCATTGAAAAACAGACACCAGTAGAAATCCTGTGTAGTGAAGGCAACAGAGGAGTTGATTTTGGAACAGCATGTATGAATTTTAACGATTTGAGGACAATGAACCCTTGCAATTTGACTTGTTTACTCTGTTCTGAAATGTCTGTGAAAACATGAATGTTAGTAGCTCTAAGTAAAGCCACATTTAGAAATTGATAGATGCTGTTATTGAGATCAGGTGGATTCCTAGAGGTTTAATCCTCTTTAATTTAGCATTTCTTCAGAGCTCTTCAGACAACTCTACATTGTCTTGATGTGACAAGTTATAATAACAATGCTGAACGTGCTGGAGTAGGGTTCTCTGCCATTGAGATGCACAGACATTAGAGACGAGGTGCTGTGTGGGACCTAAGCTCCTAAGCTAATAAACTGTGCCAGACCTTTCTTTTCTTTTCTTTTCTTTTCTTTTCTTTTTTTTTTTTTTTTTCCAGGTTGGGTTTGTGCCACCTCTGCTGGTGACAGGGAGAAGGGAGCTGGTAGCAGATAGACAGTGGGAATGGGCCAAGAAAAGAAAGCAATAGAGATGGGAGAAGACACAAGAAGGCAGAGATAAAGATGTTAAGAGAAAGACTTGATGGAAGGAGGACTCAACTGAGAAGTTTCCAAACCACCGCTTTAGGTTTTATGATACTGGTGATATCATGAAAAATTTACAATTGTCCTGTTGTTCCACCAAATTTAAAGACATTTATGTTCCTTAAGTAACTTTTCTCGTAGACATGGAGGGTGTCTCTGTTTAAGTAATTGTCTCTTGGACTACTGAGGAGTATATCATTCCAGTTAAAAGATCACTGACATAATGAAATCTTTGGAGCGTTTTCCAGTGTACAATATGTATAGAGAGGTGGTTATTTTGGAGAATTTTGGGCAGAAGATTATGGAAGCTAAGCTTTCAGTAAAACTGTAGTTACGTTTCTGTTTCAGTTCTTACATTTTTCTCTATCAAATTTTACTGATAAAACTTACTGAATCTTTACATATTATAAGCTAGTACTATTTTACTGGAATCAGGACAAATCACAAATCTACTGATCAAGTGATGTGGATTTTATTGTAGGGGATGAAAACACTCCTCAACACTACATTGTCTCATTTGTTAAAGAATTCCCAAGCCACCACCTCTATTTCTGTCATTTTGTTTTTCTGGGCTTTGTTTGGACTGTGGAATTAAGAGTTGGCTCTACCAATTTATACCTGAGATCTTTCATTTGCTCATACGCAATACCCTTGGTGGCCTTTTAGAGTAGACTGCCAAAAGATAACTTCTGTGTTCCATTTATCAAGTTTCTAATATGTTCATTAGAAAAACATACAAACATCTGAACTGTAGGGAATGTGAGCGAGCTCGTAGGCTGGCTTTCTGTGGAATGGTGCCTAGCTGCTAGATGACAGCTGAAATGGAAATAGTCTTCTCTGGGGATTCTTTATGGGGAAGATTTCCAGAGTCCTTTTGTAAGATTTGGAAATCCCCAGGGTAAAGCTACCACATGGCATTTTTTTTAAAGCTGATGTATGTAATGAAGTAACAATTCTGAGAAGTAATACGTTTTCCTGGGCTAGTGGTTGGGTAGAAATCCTTGTGAGATGAGCTGTGCTGCCTGCGGCTCGGAAGCAAGGCATATCTGGGTGAAAGAATAAACACATTATTTGACTCCTAGAAAGCAGGGCTGCAGTGTAAGGGATCTGGAGAGAAGGCACGGTGCTTCAGCTTGTCATGGAGAATGGTTAGAGAGGAGTTTGTTTTTAGGAATAGAGTAGGTAGAAAAAGTAGGTATCTGTGAATCAGTAATGCTTTTATAAGTTTAAAAGGTTTGGGGAGTTCATGCATTTGGCTGGGGGGAGGCCCCGTTAAAGCATCAGTGTAGTTTCCCAAGTTGAAAAATAGGGAACAAAAAAGGAAGAAATGTGCTATAATTTTAGAAAAGGGGATGGTAACAGCACTTAGATCCAGCCTACTGTTCTCCAGGACAATGAACAAGATTAAAAAAAAGAGGTTGGGGGCCATTTAGGGAAATGGAATAATTGTGGCTTTTAATGTCGAAACTTGCTCCCTTTTTTCTTAAAACTATGTCTTTACTTCACAGCAAGCGAGGGCAGAGCAGGAAGAGGAATTCATCAGTAATACTCTATTTAAGAAGATTCAAGCTCTGCAGAAAGAAAAAGAAACACTTGCAGTAAACTATGAAAAGGAAGAGGAATTTCTCACTAATGAACTCTCAAGAAAACTGATGCAGGTAATTGGTGCCTTTACTGATGTTTCTCCCAGTAGCCTCAGGACCAACAGGTGGCTGAACTTTTTTGTTATTGTGACTGCAGTTAGAGGGATGTGGTCAGGTTGTAGCTGATGTAAAGATGACACTTGATAAAAGCAAAGTACAAGTGTATTGAGTAAATGTTTTTTAATACGTTGCTTTAAAGTTTGCGTCTGTGAACTCATAGTGTTGAGAACCTGAAAGTTTGTACGGAGATGCAAGGAAATGGATGTAGCTTAGAGCAAATGTTAGCTGTCTTACAGAAGAGAGTTACTGATTAATTTAAAATGTTAGTGAAAAGACACTTTTTTCTGGAGTATTTGATATTTAACAGGAGTCCTGAAATATTGAACTTTATATACAAGAATGTGCAGCAATGCTTGAAGGAGGCTATCTGTAAAGTTTATCCATACTTTTAACAAAACAAATGCTTCTCTTGAATTAAAACACATCAGTCAGGTGCTAAAAGTAAAAAGTTGAACTTGCTGGGACAATTTATAGCAGAGAAACTTGTTTTTGTTACTCAAGTTGCTAATTTTTGGAAATTGGTTAAGTATTTGTTTGAAGTTTTGTACACGCTTACCCTGTTCTGATAGACTTACCTAAATACATGCTTTCAGCCTCTGTAGGAGACAGTGTACTAAGTTAGATGAATGTTTGGTGTTGTCCACTATGGCTTTTTTCATGCCATAAACTTCATTACTTATAAGCATTTTCATAAAAAACTAGTCAATTTTAAAGAACCTAATTTGTACGTTGTAAACATTTATGTTCTGCAGCTGGAGACTCTAAGGCATGTTTAGCCCTGCGGTTAGGAAATACACTGTTTGGAAAGAACATTACAGTCATAGAATTGTAGAATGCTTTGGGTTGGAAGGAACCTTTAAAGGTCATCTAGTCCAACCTCCCCTGCAATAAGCCGGGACATCTTCAACTAGATCAGGTTGCTCAGAGCCCCATTCCACCTGACTTTGAATGTTTCCAGGGATGGGGTATCTACTGCCTCTCTGGGCAACCTGTTCCAGTGTTTCACCAGAGTAAAGAATTCCTTTAAATCTTCCCTCTTTTAGTTTAAAATCACACCGCTTGTCCTATTGGAACAGGCCCTACTAAAAAGTTCGCCCCCATCTTTCCTGTAGGCCCCATTTAAGTACTGGAAGGCCACTATACGGTCTCCCTGGAGCCTTCTCTTCTCCAGACTGAACAACCTCAACTCTCTCAGCCTGTCCTCATAGGAGAGGTGCTCCAGCCCTCGGATCATTTTTGTGGCCCTCCTCCGGACCTGCTCTAACAGGTCCATATCTTTTTTGTGCTGAGGGCTCCAGAGCCGGATGCGGTACTCCAGGTGGGGTCTCACTAGAGCGGAGTAGAGGGGCAGAATCACCTTGCTCGACCTGCTGGCCACGCTTCTTTTGATGCAGCCCAGGACACAGTTGGCCTTCTGTGCTGTGAGGGCACATTGCCGGCTCATGTCTGCTCATGTGTGATTATGTTGGCTTGTGTACGATTAGAGCTAATCATATAATCATAGAATTGGTTGGGTTGGAAGGGACCTTAAAGATCATCTAGTTCCAACCCCCCTTCCCATGGGCAGGGACACCTCTCACTAGACCAGGTTGCTCAAATCCCATCTGACATGTTTCTTATTGAAAACTGCAACTTCTATGACTTTTTCTGTTTGATGCCTATTATCACATAGTAAGTTAAGTATCAAGATAAAATATCCTCAATCTGCTATTGCTATTTCCCTTGCTATTCTTGAGGACTGACAAGAATGTTTCTGAAGAAGATGTAAGTTTGCTTTCAAAGTCATACATTTTTATGAAAAATAGAGAAGCAGATGGCAGTAAAATAGCGGCATCCAGTGTTCTTTTCTAACTGAAGTAAGATGCAGATATCACTATAGAAAAAGCTTTCCACTAGAGTCTTTTTCAATAAAGGGAGAAATGGTATGTTGAGCAATGTTACTTAATTGAAAGAGGTATGTAGAAACCTGTTACAGAACCAGCTTCCCTGGGACTGCGCTATACGTTGTGTAGACCGAAGTAAAACTTACTTTAAAGTAAAAGCATGAATTACACTTGATTTGGCTGAAGGATTTTGAACTCATATAACGAGTTCACCTTGCACACAGATTTGTGCTGCACGAGTTCTTCAGCACCTAAATTGCTGTATCTAGTGTTGTGGTTTAACCCCAGCCTGCAGCCAGGACCACGCAGCCACTCCTGCAGTTTGCCCCCTTCCCCCTGACAAGGGTAGGGGGAGAGGGAGAAAGGGGGTGGGGGGAAGCAACTCATGGGCTGAGGTAAAGACAGTTTAATAGAACAATAACAGAAAAAAGAAAATAACAATAATAATCATGGTAAAAGAATACATAAGATAAAGTAATGCAACACAAGTCACTGTCACCACCCGGTGAATTGGTCGGCCGGCTTGTCCCAAGTGGCGATCGCAGATTTCCGCCCCCTAGCCAACCCCCAATTATATGTTATATGTTGATATGTTCGTCCTAAAACTGTGTAATTCTCTCAGCATCATTAGGTAGTAGTTTTTGGAAGTAAATTGTGAGTTTGTTCTCTATTTAAATAGTAACCCAGTTTACTTGAAAAAGAGAACAGCTGTCAACATCCTATCGATGTTGGTAGTGGTTGTGCCTGTGAAGGGTGAGTGCCATGGAATATCTTGCATACAGTTTCACCTGTTAACTGCAGTGCACGGAGAAGAAGATGATAAGGGATATATCAGAGCTCTAGTGCAAAGCATATTTTAAGCTGTGTCAGAGGAATCTGCCTGGTCAGCAGGTTTTTTAGTCCATACATCTGGATGACTTTTCATAACCTTTACAGTGGCTCAAGACTTACAGTGCAGGTGAAGGACTTGTTTGTTTGTTTTAAAGCAAACAGTTTAATATTAAAACTGTTATTCTGCTTGTGTGTATGCTAAATGCAGATCTTATTTCATGGCTTGATTGTGTCTTTGATGTGATAAACTTGCTGTGAAATGCAAAAAATCCGTGTTAATATACTCTCCTAAACACTAGTAACATGGTCAGCAGCTTATAAATTATACAAAGGAGATGGTCCTTTCCCCTAAAGAGCTTACCTGTAAAATTGGGTAACATTTGAATATTACAGTATGTTTCCACAAAAATAATTTTCTGTCTCCATAGTGATCATGGATTTAGGAAGTTGATATTAGAATATTGGTGAGTTGCAGGCAATTTTCCGAAGTAGAAAAGAACCGCAAATGATATTGACATTGATTTTTGTTTTCTGAAAGCTTGTCTGTTGTTTAGAAATTATGATTCTTCAATTATGAATCCTGGAAATTAAACCCTTGTAGACTGCCAGATAAAAAAAATCTGAGAAGAGAAGCTGCGGATATTACAGATAAACCCGATTTGTGGAAAAGAGAGCATTAGCATACATCACATGGTCAACTTAGTATTTACTAAAATATCTTTCCTATTTTGGGATACTCTTCGTGTTACACAGGTGCAGTGCAAAATTCCTGACTAATGTTTTTCAGACACAGAAAGTTAAGATAATTACAATTTACTTTTTTCAGTTTCCTGAGATTTGTGAGTGCCAATACTTAACATTACTACTAGAATGTAGCAATTCTGTCTTTATTAGAGGGCACAAGACTGATGAGGCAGTTATAAGGCTAATAATGAATTGATATATGCCCGCTTCCATTTTTGGTATCTTTGCTCTGAGGAGAATTCTAGCTAAATTCAGCAGACTTTGGCTGACAACTTAACGAGAAATACAGTAGTCTCCAGTAGAAGTGTGGGCAGTAATTGGTTGCTCCACTGTTCTTTGCTGTCTGGGGTTGAACTCTTAATCTCTGTGTTTGCTGGGCCACATCGGTCTGACCTAGAACTAGACTTTCAAAATTCGTGCTGTCAGACATTGTACATCAAATGGCTTCCTGCTTTTTGTATGACTAAAGGGAAAAAAAATGCATATGAATCTGTTTTGTCTAAGACTTTGCCTTTTGGAACAGAGGGGTGGGTGTACTTCTGGTAAACTGCATATGATTTGTAGTCTCTTAATTTTTCAAGTATTTAGTAGTCTGTGGCTGTGTCAAAATTAATTCCATATTATTCAGTTGAAAGCCACCTAGCAGAGGGACTTTCTTCATAGTGCCTGTCTGGTTTTTGTTTTGTCAAACCTTTGTTTGTCACAGTTGTAGGGACTTATGCATCGCATTCAGGGTGGCATCTGGAATGCGCTTCCAGAATGGTAAAACGTTTTAAATGTGAAAGCTGTTTGCCAGAGCACGAGCTGCAGCTCTCCTCGCTAACAGTCTAACAAGAATTTCCCAGTTCAGCATGATGTGCGTTACTATTATAAAACAGAGTTACATCAGGTTTTCGGTATTGTAAGAAATTAATTTTGCAACATTTTACTATATGCCAGACTGACTCTAAACATAGCGTAGTAGCACATAAAAGAAGGTGTTTTCAGTGGAATAGTAGTGTCTTCCTGTTGCCAGGCTTTCTGGTACCATACCATTGCTCGATAATACCTGTTTGTAACTGTGTGGCATTAGCTTTTACTGCCTCTACAAGCCTAATAAATAAGTGTATGCTTTTACTAGTTATATTTCCTTTGTTTGGCATAATGAATGCTACAGAGATGAAGGAGCTCGTGCATCTAAACAGAGGTTTTGGAGTAAACAAAAGTTTTTCATCTCATACATTACTGATAAAGTTCTTATAAGCCTTATATACAGTCACTGTATTTTCCCATGTACTTATTCTAATTATATTTTTATCTACCTGACTAAGTCTCTGGAAAGTTTGGAACAATATTTTTATAGAGTCCTCGATCTCCTGTAGAATGGTAGTAATATTTTGCTTTAGAATCATTAGTATCTTTAGTATCATTAGAAGTGTTTTGATGCAGGATCTGCTCTTGCAGCTCTGGACGTGGACTTGTTGAGTAGTAGTTTTGAAATTTAAAGTAGTAAATATTGAAAAGTTATCTTTTGTGAAACGAGGCTGCTCAAAAGAGTCATTAATTTTTAATATTGTTTGAACTTACAAAGTCAATTATTCTTTAAATTGTGCAACAGTTCTTTTCAAAATCAAATGCAGATTTTTTCAATACCCTTATATTTTTGGAAGTGCAAATTGGCCCAAGTCTGTCCTTGAAAGTAGAATGTTACGACATTCCAAGATAATAGCATAATGTATAGTCAGGCAGATTAATACAGGGAATACAGAACTGTTTCTCATGCAAATCTGATTCTTGACAATTCTTTCAAAAATTATAAGTCTGTAAACATAAGCTATTACACTTCCTGCTCTCCAAAATATGATGTGTCAGCTCAAGGATGCAAATGTGATTGTGTGGAATAAACAGTGTCAGCTCATCTGTCATTTATTTGATGAACATCTGGACATAAAAAGGAGGCAAACTGCCGATACAGATTTGTTAATAAATAGGACTTTCAGGATGCAGCAAAGGAGGAATTGGACAACTTTTGAGGGGTGGAGTACTAAAAATAGACTGTTCAGTACAATGTGCAAGGTCATAGTCTGGGGGATAAATGAGGGTTGTTTTTTTAATGGGAGACTTCTTCCATTAGCTCCATTTTTCATAGAAACACTTTCTGCTGTTCCAGAATAAGCCAGTGCGGTAAGGAAGTAGGGTAAATGTGGTCCTACACTGTATCAGGAAACTTTGTAGAGAGAGGAGGATATTACTGTGGTTGTATAGGACTTACCTGAACTAACACTTGCACTCTTTCTTCTGCTAAGCTTTGTATTTGATAGACCTGTTCTCACTTTAAAGTATTAGCTGTCTCTCTTGCAACCAAACCCATCTCTGATCTTACGTAATAGAAAATTCCCCCGGTATCTCTCCTACAGTTTTCATATGTAATTCAAGGTCTAGAAGACATTGTCATCAAGGTGACACGTTCTAACACATTTTTTCCTTCTCTTTAGCTGGCAGCTGTAGGTGTAGCTGTAAACAGTTGTTACTATAATTGTATATAACTAAAAACAGTTTGAAAATACACTCGTGCTTTACTGAGTAAATAAACACTATGCACTAGTGGATATTTTCTCATTGTTAGCAATTCTGTTTTTCAGCGTCAGGGTTTCGGCATTAACTGGTTTTTGTTTGTGTTTGTTATCAAAGCCATTAAAAGGGGAAAAATATTTTACCCAATCATCAGTGACAGACACCATTAATGTATATTGTGGGGTGTGTTGTTAGTATTTTTTTTTATTAGTGTTTTTCATTTCTTTGAATAATGAAGCCAAAAGGGTGTAGGGGAGTAGCACAATAAAGTAGATTCATCATAATGTCCGAGAGGGCTTTCATGTTATAATCCTTTTTAGCCCTCAAGGGGAAAGTGTTTGTGTATTTCCTTTTATTCCCAGTCACTTTGCTTTCTGGTGTATTTATGTTAAAATCAGAATAGAAGATACTCCTGTAATAGATCTCTCCTGGCTTCACTTAGTAGCTCTCTGATCAACTGGAATGGTCCTTTGGCTGCAGTGTGTTCACGCTCCCAAGGTAGGGTTTAGTGGATCCTACACAGCAGTTCCAGATTTAAGGAGTAAGCCTCAGCAGTTCCAGCATGATGGAAATTCCGGCAAGCTTTAAAAGGAATGATTTGACAAGGAAGATTGTGCTATTGCAGCTCAATTTGTTTTAAATAATACGGTCATTGCATTTGCATGAAGCACACAAGAGCAAGAAACAGTATTTGTTGTTAAGTGGGTTTGAGGTGCCTTCATGCAACTGTATGGTCTGCCTGACTCGCTGGGCTGTCTGCAAATGCTAGCAGTCCCCAACCACACGCGTTCTGGTAGCAGCATCTGGCTTTAGGCTGAGTAAGAGATCCTGGCTATGTGCCTTTTCGCACAGTTTAATATGCTAACTAAATATAAGCTGATTAGAGCAACTGGCTTTGGTCTCAAATTTTAGTTAGGTGAAAAAAAAGCATCTAGCTCTTTTAATGAAGCAAAATGAAGACTGATGAAAGTGCAGCAAGTAGCTTGAGCGAGGTGGTAGTCCACGCGCTGTCTGCTCCTTGGGCTCTTTGGCTGTCTTCAGTCTTAAAATGTAGCTGCGGCGTAGGGACAGGGACGAAATAAGACTAAATAATATCCTTTTCACATTAAGCCTGTTCTTTTCCAACCGAGCTTAACTCTGAAACTGAAGTAAGAAACTTCGTATTTTTGATTATCAAGCCATGCAAACAGTATTTTGATTTAGAAGTGTGAATATAAATTTTTCTTCTAATGAAAATCTCATTTAGCAGCCCTGCGTATTCTCATACAAGACATGAAACGGCTTTATTTCCAACTAGACAGTGTAACAAAATTTCCTAACCATTTGATCAAGAGCTGCCATGATAGGTGGCTTCCTCAAGCTCATGGGAATTTCCCTGAGCATCAGGGCTTTTGGAAGATATACTGTAATTTAATAAGTCAGAGGAATAAATCTCATTTATTTTTTAATTACTATTCTGGTGTTTATTTTAATTTGTGAAAAACAAAATCTCGAAATTGATAAGCCCTGAAAAGACAGTTAAACTGCAAACTTCTCCCGTATGTATATTGCCAAGTGGTTACTGCCTGCCGAGTGCTTGCTCCACACAAGCCTTTCAGCTCTGAACTCTCTGCCAGGCTACACTTCACAGACCATTTTGTCTCTAAATAGCAGCACAAGGAACTGAATTAATGAACTAGCAATTTTAGCTTGTTTTAAAATCAAAGTATATTTGCTCACTGTGGATATCCAGCAGTCTAGGCTTGTGTCCATGACTGTGAGGTGTGTCTCCATTTCCTCAGATTTTCCTCACACATTTAAACACTAAGATCTTACATATTGTTATGTGGCAGCCAGAAGAATCCAAGTAGAAAATAAGCAGGTGGAAAAAAAGTGCATGCAATTTTCAGTGGATGGCCAGAGCACGGTGTAATTACACCTTTGTCTTTTGGTGACGTTTGCTTTTCCTTAAGTCAAATTCACGTGTTTGTACCATGGTGCCAGTCACACTGTTTTATCCACAGGAAGACTTGGATCCCTGTCTCAGACGGATTCCATAGTGATTTTGACTTTAATGTTAAAAGTGACACTTCTCCAAGCTATAATTTGTGTTAAAATGTGTGGGGATTTTTTGTTTCCGTCTGCTTAAGAGCTTTGAGAGTAAAGATTTTTATTCATTGGAATTACTAACTGAAAAAAATTTTCCCTTGAGTATTAAGAAAATGTATGACATTGATTTGAAATAACCAGTGTTTTTAAGTCATCGAAATCTTTTGATTCTTGGTAGCATGGGAACAGAAATTAGGGTTTTGGTGTTTTGGGGTTGTTTTTTTTTTTTTTTTTACTATCTTGTTGCACAGCAATCTCAGTAGTATCACTTCAGTCAGGATTTTAATCTTTCAGCTGCCTGGGAGAAGGAAGTGCTAAGACCTGCATTTTATGATTTGGGTGCTCTTGAGATGATGCATTTAGATTAAAATTAATGCATTTGTGAACATTATGATAGATTTTTGACTTTTGAAATGTCTATAATTATTTTATATGCTATATATAATGTATCTATTTTGATATGACTTTATTAAATATTTGGAAATGTAGTTTACTTCCATCTGCTTTGTAAAAGGAACACAGTTTAAAATGTTGCTTTTTGAAGGGTTGGGTGGGTTATATGTTTTGAAGTCTTTTGAGAAGAATTATCAGTAGAGAATTTAGTATGCATTAAGAATAAACATGTCTAAATAAACGTATAAACGGTGCACAATGTTTCATACTTTCATTTATGTGTTTAAAATACTTCCATGTCTCCTAAATTTTTAGCTGCAGCATGAGAAAGCTGAACTGGAGCAGCATTTAGAGCAGGAACAGGAATTTCAAGTGAACAAACTGATGAAGAAGATTAAAAAACTGGAAAATGATACAATTTCGAAGCAGCTCACCCTGGAGCAGGTAACTCCTTACTTTCAGAATTTTACATGACTATAAAACAAGGGATTCTGAAAAAAAAAGTAAATACTTGTTTTGTATTAGATTTGACTTAATCTTTTAAGTATGTAAGAAACTGGGCAATATCAAGAATATAGAAGAATCAGTTTGACTTTCAAAGCAATAAATCATTCACACAATTTATTATGAGAAACTTTGATTAATTTTTCTTTTCATGGCCATTGTAACTTTTAGTAGGCTTGCTGTAGGTCTTCATGTCTCCTGGACAGCTGTGAGTTTTGCAAATGGAGCTTTTTTTGTGAGTAAAGCTTCTTGTTGCTGTTCATCAGCTTCCACTCTCATGCTGCCAGTGAGAATGACTGTCACTTCTGACAGTGGTTAAGCACAACAGTAAACAATATGCATGTGGTCTGTTGTGCTCTAGGTCACCTTTTTGTGGCAGCTTGGATAGCACAGGACTGGAACTGTGAGATGTCAACTGTGTCTATGCTTAAAAAGATTTGAGATTTAACTACATCCAACTCCCTTTCTCCCTAGACAGTTATGAAGATTGCAGAGATAAAACACCACTTGTTTTGGTCATGTTTCCACTGGAAGTTTAGACATTGGGACTGCTCTTATGTCTAATTTTAGGCATGTGCATCAAAGCATCTCAGTGGTGTTAGCAGGAGTCCTTTTGACTTAAAAGGCAAACTGATGAAACATATAGTCTTGTTAAAGAACTTCAGTTTTTCTGGCTTGTGGAAGTCAAATAATTTGGGTGGTGTAAATATAATACGTTATTTCTGTGGATTTTTTTGCGGTTCTCATTAGATGTGGAACTTTTTTGTTCCTGGTAGTCTGAATTTCTACCAGTTTTGTATGACTCTTCTATTTCTGTTGACATTGTGGATAAATCAGTTAATGCCTGTCTTAATGATGAAGTGGGTTTTCTTGATCTTATGCTAACATTCTTTATGGAGAGATCTATGGAACAAATTGAAAAATAGAAAGGTAGGAAGATGTAGCTGCCAGCAAATCCTTAATCAGCATTTCAATCATGAGATTGAAATAACTCTCTTAGCCACCAGGGGGTGGTGGTGGCCACTTAATCAAAATGCAAAGTAAGCTTACATATTAAGCTGGTTTAGCCTTTGAAATGTTAGCCTGAGACACAGCTGAAATCTTAATGGTATTTATTTTCATATCATTGTTTTGGGCTGACAGACTTTTGAAATCACAAAATTTGAAACTTGTTGCTATATTTGAATATCAACAATAGATTGTTCAAAAAGCACGGATGCTCAGAGGTCTTTCTGTCAAATATCTGACCTTGAAACCTTACTTTTTTAATGAAGATGGTAAATTTATATGTCAGTCTTAGAATTCCTTGGGTATTTGTATGTAATAGAGCACGTACCTGTGTTTTCTCTTACAGTAAGGTATAGTAAATCTCAAGTTACTTTAAACTTCAGCATGCTTTTTTCTTTTACACAAATTGAAAAAAAACAAAACACGTTGTGCTAATTAACCAGCTGAAGCAACAGCTTTTGGGGCATGTGCCATACCTAGCAAGAAGCAACTAAAAGCTGTGAGCAGAGCAATGTTGCCTTTATTGTACAAATGGGAATTAAGGGAGAGAGATTGCCTCAACGGTTCAACATAACCTTTGGGAGACCTGTTAAACAGGGCTTGGAGGGAGTACTTCAGCAGTGCTTTGAACATAATCTAGGGCTGCATTACTAGATCTATCACTGTAATCAGTGACCAGATAGTTACAACATATGTTCACTAAACTATTATTTTTAAAAAATGGAACACAAATACTCTATGCTTTGTGTCCTTCCCCTGTTGCTTTCTCTCATCTGAGCTGCTTATGCCACAGATGATTGGTAGGTAGCCATTTGGTAGCAGTGATGGTTGTGTAGAACATTACTCCTAAATAAAAAATTAAGTTGGATCTTAGGGTTCAAATGTGACCTGACTTAATTTTCTTAAGTCAGCTTGAAGTGGTGGAACATTTTTCTCTGAATGCTAATGGTGAAGAAATTTGCGACATGTGACTATTTCATTAACTGAATGTCTCAGCTAAAATGAGCAATAATGTTCTGTGTTACAGTTCAGTGGTTTGACAGGAAATAAATAGCTGTCAGTTTTGTCCTACAGAGGCCAAGTTTGTGTAGTCTTACTGCTACAGCAGTTAGGAGATGAGAAATAAGAACTAAACTGTTCCCCATCTTTCCCGTAGGCCCCCTTTAAGTACTGGAAGGCCACTATATGGTCTCCCTGGAGCCTTCTCTTCTCCGGGCTGAACAACCTCAACTCTCTCAGCCTGTCCTCATAGGAGAGGTGCTCCAGCCCTCGGATCATTTTTGTGGCCTTCCTCTGGCCCTGCTCCAAGAAGTCTGTGTCTTTCCTATGCTGAGGGCCCCAGAGCTGGACGCAGTACTCTGGTGAGATCTTACCAGAGTGGAGTAGAAGGGCAGAATCACCTTGCTCGACCTGCTGGCCACGCTTCTTTTGATGCAGCCCAGGACATGGTTGGCCTTCAGGGCTGCAGGTGCACGTTGCTGGGTTATATTGAGCTTCTCACCAACTGAAACCCCCAAGTCCTTCTCAGGCCTGCTCTCGATCCATTCTCTGCCCAGCCTGTATTTGTGCTCGGGATTGCCCCAAGCCACGTACAGAATGTTGCGCTTGGCCTTGTTGAACTCATGAGGTTCACACGGGCCCACCTCTGAAGCCTGTCCAGGTCCCTCTGGATGGCATCCTTTCCCTCCAGCATGTCTGCCGCTCCACACAGCTTGATGTTGTCAGCAAACTTTCTGAGGGTGCACTCTGTCTTAACATCCATGTCACCAACAAAGATGTTAAACAGCGCCAGTCCCAGTAACGACCCCTGAGGAATACCACTCATCACTGGTCTCCGCGTGGACATGGAACCATTGACCACAACTCTCTGAGTGCGACCATCCAGCCAATTCCTTATCCACTAAGTGGTCCACCCATCAAATCCATGTCTCTCCAGTTTAGAGACCAGGATGTTGTGCAGGACAGTTTCAAATGCACAAGTCCACGTAGATTATATCAGTTGCTCTTCCCTTATCTACCAACGCTGTAACGCCATGGTAGAAGGCCACCAAATTTGTCAGACACAATTTGCCTTTAGTGAAGCCATGTTGGCTTCCATGTTTCTTCTGGAAAAGTATTCTTGGAGAGCTGCAAAGAATTAAAGCTACAAAGCGGGAGGGGCAGATGAAAGGCAGAGAAGTGAAATTTGGGATAGTGGGCTTAGGCAGAGATCATATTCAACTTTCATTGATTTGGAAGATCTCTGTTTTAGGAGGGTACAGTTGTGCTTGTTCTTAAGTTGGCAAGACGACTGAAGAAGCAGTAATCCAGAAATATACAGACAATGGATATTTTAGCTGCATTTGAAGTAAATTAAGTGTATGCATGAAAGAGACAGAGAAGAGTGAATACAATTGGATGGTGAGGAAGGTTAAAAGGCATTTTTCTCCTCCTCTGAAGGGAAGATTAAGGTCCAAAAAAGCAAATAATACTTCCTCATTTCCCTGTTGTGAAGGTAAAAATTAAATGATGTTTGATTAGGATGTAACTTTGAACCCACGTAGAATGACACTAATATTGACAGAGCTGCTGGTTTGCTCTTGAGATATAATCCCATCCTGCTTATTTTAGTTCAGAATATTATCATGGTCCTAACAAATTCATTGACTAGAGCTAGACTACATTTCAAAGTACACCTGAAACTACCTAGTACAAAACAAATGCACCTATTCTCTGAATTCACAGCTCTGGTCAGGTTGCTGCAGTCACTTCTGTAGGTTCAATTCATGGTGTTAATCCTCAAAGCTTTAATATCCTGACACTGGGAGGAAATGGGACAACATTCAAGATCAGGAAAGGAAGATACTTGTTCCTAATGTGTTTTCGTATTGCTGGAAATGTGGATCTCTGTTTCACAACCCAGTTTCTTTGGTGTTTCATCAGAGCATGTCTGTCAGCCTTCTGGGCATAACACAAGGCTCATTTGTATATTGTTGCTGATGGTTTGACTTTGCCATTGTGCATGCTCACCTGCATGCAGATTTCTAATTAATGGATTCTGCTGCCTTGGTGATGGTTACTGTAACACTAAATGTCATCTTAGAGTTTTTAAATCCAAGGTTATAAATAATTTGCTCTATCTTCAAATTCCAGCGTGTTCTTCTTCCTACCATTAAATGAAATAGATTTATTTTCGCCAGTACATTTTTGTGGGTTTGTTTGGTGCTAGATCGATAACATAGTTGTAAAAAGACTACATCGGAGCAGGTGAGTCTAAGCCATGCTGCACTGAAGTGATGCAAAACCCGTTACTGCAGAAGTAGTAATCTGCAGTCAAATCTTTTTCATCGTGTGTTTATATAGAGAGCTATGCAATGCATTGAAGATCTGCACGTTGGTAGTGTAGAAGCATGGTGTGCAGATTCCCAGAATGTTTTGCGTACTTTCTTCCCTCCGAATGCTGTCAGCCCCGAGCATTGGCCAAGCTGACTGATGAGCAGTGCCCTGAGGCAAAGCGCCCTGTCTCTCCAGGGGCAGAGCCCTTTGCCTTTGGACCACTCCAGCTCCCGCTGGTGCAGGGAACAAAGTGTCCGTCAGGATCCAAATTGTCATCCCTCGTGTGAGGCTGAAGCATGTTGCTCCTGACTTCTCTTTTATTGACCTGTAAGTTCCCTCAGCTGTTGATGTACATCTGAAAACTCCAACATGGAAAGATTTACTAAACAGCGTTTCTTTTTCTAATTGTATTCCCTATTATTCATCAATGTATGTCTATTTTTACTTACAGTAACTAATTCCTCTAAGCTTTATAGAAGAAAGTTGTACATTCATTAAACTTGCACTGTTACCTAAAGTGCATAAGTTAAAATTTTTTTGGGGTGTCTCAATATTAATTTAGTGGTTAGCACAGGGCCCTTACAGATTTACATGCTGTAATAGCACTTTACCCAGTGATGTAGTAAACATGTGAAGAAATCACTTAGTCTGTTTTCAGTCTTTCCATTTTGTAATGTGGGATTATTTGCCCATCAGGAAAGTGGTTAGTGTTAACTAAGGCTTGGCTGGGAAAAATACCTCCGTGCTATTTTCCACCTGTAAAGGGGTTGATCTATTCCCATATGTTTCATTATTGCTAACTTCTGGAGTTCAGCTGCCAGTGTGACTCAGTAGGATCAGCTGCATCTCTTAATATTCTAGCATATTCTTAATAATATTTGCATTGTATTTGTACTGAAATACTAATAATTTCTTCCTGTGTGGTTCTACATTATATCAGCTTTTATTACCTTATAATAGAATCAAAAATGTTTGTTCACACAGTAGTTGAATGGGAATAATGTCAAGTGAAGCGTTTACTTTTATAAAGTCTTTGCTAAAATAGAAATACATTTGTGTCTGCTAGTAAGGGTTAACACAGTAAGCCTTAAGGCAGTTCACATAATTTTTTCTTTATTATTTTTGTTATGTCGCTCCTTTATCTAACACGCGGCACACATGGCTTCTCTTCCATTCTTCCACTAAAAAGTAAAAAATTTTTCAAAAGAACAAATGTTGGTGTAGTGGACTGTAAATTCAGTTTCAACTTCAGAGACGCATGGAGTAGGCTTGTCTTTGAATAGATTTGTCATGTCATCAGTGACAGCCTTTCCAGGTTGCAAGCTCCTCACTGGCCAGAGATGACAAGTTCCGTGAGAAAAAATTTTGTAAAGGAGATGACAACTGTGCAACTCCTGAATCTCTTGATTTTTCTGTGACCAGTGTGTTGTGCCTGATTTTTGTCTCCACCTTCCCCTTTCTGTCAGAGAGCATCATGTAAAATGGTGGTGTTACAGCAGTGATCCTCCCTTAATGACTGTTCCTTGCAAAAAATATATTTCCATCATTTTCATTGATTGATTTTTCTCTCCAGCTAAGACGTGAGAAGATTGACCTTGAAAATACTTTGGAACAAGAACAAGAAGCACTAGTGAATCGTCTCTGGAAGAGGATGGATAAGCTTGAAGCAGAAAAACGGTTTGTCTTGTTGCAGTGTGTTCATTACTGTGGGAGAGATATCATTTAATGCATAACGTTCTAGAATCAGTAAGTTCATTTCCGTCCCACAGGAGTTGTTTAATCTATGAAAACATGGAAGTTAAAGCAGTTGTAAAGCTCCTTGTTTACATGATGCCACATCCTTGATTGCCTAAAGTAGATAAAACTAAATAGTATAAAAAATGATCTGGGACCGGGAATTTGCTGAAGTTTTTCAACTGCTGATAGACTCTTCTTAAAGCTTCTGGCTTGGGGTCAGCTTTATATTTGTGGCCCAGAGAAAGTAACGGGGTATTTCAGCGTATTTTTTGCATGAAAACCTTTTGGTTTTTCCCTATCTGCTCAAAGAAAACTTCAGCTTTTTCTCAGTGGTGTGCACTCATGTCATTGAGACTTCTGCTGCTTCTTCAATAGAAGTTAAGACAGTGAGACTTTATATTCCTGGGAAAGCTAAGATTAAAAAAACGTATTAAAGCAATCGTCTCTTTAATGTCATATATAAGAACTCTCTTTTGGGGGGAGCAGGCAAGAAGAGGTGATTAGTACCTTATTTTCTTCTACGTATTTAGGGACAGTTATGTTAGCGTGACTCTGTGAATCTTGACTGGGGCCTCAGAAACCACCTGAGCCTAGGTGAACTGCAGGTTTTGTAGTTTTATTTTACAGAGCCCCGCTGTGTGAAAGGTGCTCTGAAGAGCTACATGCGATACTCAGCAGTGGTAAAGCCATAGCGGGATGGGCGTCTGTCAGATTTTTGTGCATCTTAGATTTAAAGCCACCTTTAAACCAAAGCCGGTTTACTTTATCCCAGACTGTGTGCCTTCTTACGAGGAGCTGCAGTGCAGCCAGACCGTGCTTTTGCCCCACTGTGTACGGCACGTGGGAATACTGGGACATGCAGAGAGTTGTACTGGCATAGTGCTGTCCCTGCTCTTCAGGGCGGTGTTGGGTCTGGCCCATCAACATGTTTCTACTGAAGAACAGTTTCATGCTTTCAGGCTGAAAAATACTTACTATGTTAACTCCAAAAATCATCATTTAGAACATTTAGTATCTACCATATGCTTATTTCTGTGTAAGAGAAATTCATTACTCCTGAATTTACAGTTATTTGTGGTATTTGAAACCCTGACTGTATGGAATACCTTTCTGTTCGGAGATTATTTAAAAAAAAAAAAAAGAAAAAAAAGAGGGAGACTATTTGGTTATGCTTCAGAAAATGTATCTGAAATTTTCTCTTTTGGTAACGGTGAAATGCAGAAAAGCTTGTGTTCCACCACAGACATACTTTACTTATCTTTTAATCTTGAAATATGTGTTCTTCCTCTAAGAACATACATGTAAAAACTCATAAGAGATTACATGAATTTGGTTAGAAATGATTTTGTGGAATAAGTAGTGTTTGAGTATAAAATTGAGGTAACTATATGTAGTCTGGAATTTGTTTTTCTGGAACTACATGCAGAAATATTTAGGAGTGTCAATGTCTGAGTATTTTAGAAAATCCATCTGTGCTTAGACAACAGATTTTACCTTTTCTTAAATTTTGTTTTAAAAAAGAAAGCATTATAAGTCCTCCCAAAATCCTCTCACCAAAAACTGTAGTTAAAAGAAATCTTTTATCCCTGTCAGAATCCTTGCAGTGGCCTCCTGGGGGATTTGAGGTGTTTGGTTTTGTTTTTTTCTTTCATTAGAATTGAAAGTAAAATTTGAACTATTTTTCATACAGAATTTTGCAGGAGAAATTAGATCAGCCAGTATCTGCTCCACCGTCACCCAGAGACATATCCATGGAGATAGATTCTCCAGAAAACATGATGAGACATATCAGATTTTTAAAGAATGAAGTGGAGAGGTTAAAGAAACAACTGAGGGCTGCACAGTTACAGCGTGAGTAAACAACTTGTTTTAAATCTTTTTAAGTTTGTGGAATGTAAGATTTTTATATATACTTTCATGAGTTTGAATTTAAGGTAGAAGTGGAAAAAAATAGGGCAAGTTTGGATTAAAACATTTTCATAATTGCAGAATTATTGCTCACTGATGTATTTATACTGCAGTTTGGGGGTTTTTTAGCTTTACTAGACGGGTGTCTGGAAGAATCAACAAATATTTCCTGAATATTTTGGACCTGAAAAATATGTTTCTATCTTTTTTTCAGAGACTTAGCAGTATTTCAACGTTTAGATTTTTCAAAACAGATTTATGGCCTACTTTGTAAGAGTCTTGTTATAAATTAAGAATTACTGAAAAGAATTAACAGCTGGCAAAATAAAGTTCAGTAGTATGTAAGAATTTCATTTGTTAATGATTGCAGCTACCTTTAATTGTAGCTGTGTTGGACTAATTTTTCAGGCAGCTATTTGATTTGACAGTGTAGCAGAACGAGTAATCTTATTTTGTTCTTACCTATGTAAGATCGCTTTGAAGGTGGACAGAATAAATAGTTGTGTAAAAGTCCTTGTGTTTCTGTTGTGAAGTGTCATGGACCCTTGCCCAGAAGCAGAAAGCCTGCTTTTGGCCCTGCCTTTCAAGAGAAGAGGCTGTGGCTCTGAGCACACGGTCTCAGCTGGAAAAAAGTTCGCTTGTGCATGCCTGCGATCTTTGCAATGCCAATCCTTCATTCCTTCATGCTAAATCTAAAATTTCTGTCCGAGTTTCATCAGTTCTGCCTAGTTCCTAGTCAGTAGCATTATATTTCAATTGATAAGTAAGTGGATACCTAACCACATCGACAGAAAAATTTGAGTGAGTGGGAAACGGGCAATATTCTCCCTCTCTAGTGTGCTGGTCTTGACAGGCTAACAGGAATATTTCAACGCCAGTTTAGAGAAGTAGCTTCCCAGAGGCAGCGGCCTTCCTTGAAGACAGAGGTGATGGGAGAGTGCTCTTTTGCACAGGCCTTGTGCGCCAGTTTGTGGTATGAATAATTTGTGTCAGTTAAAAGAAGATAAGGACTGGTGATCTTTGTACTTGCCAATTCTGCACTGCAGCCTTCACTTACTGAGCTTCAGAACGAGAGCAAGGCCTTAAAGTACCCTTTGTACAAGTCTAGCCTAATTACTTTCATTTCAAGTATTCTTTATTATTTTTAGGTGATTCTTTCTGAATTACTGGGATTTAGAGTAAACATTTAGAAGTATTTAAAGTCATATTCTCATTGAAAATAAAATCTGGGTTTAAAAGTACTCTTCCCTTTTGTGAACAGATTAAACAGAGCTGCAATATGAATAGCAATCCTGATAGAAATGGTGGGTGCACTAGCCTGCAAGCAGAAGATGAAACTGAAATACAGTTTTCAGATTATTTTTTGCGATATGTCGTCATTAGAGAACCTCTAGTATTATTCATAAATATTTAATAAAAATCTGCTTACTGAATTCTCATACTATTACTACATTTTGTATTCCTGAAGCACTTACTTCTAGTCTAGGAACTGTTTTGGTATAATAATAGTTTTAAGTAAGTGATACTGTTACATTTAGAAGTAGTATTTCCACAGAAGAGACATAAATCATGTCTTGTTGATGGTTTTGGAACAGTTTTCTAAAACGGGAAGAGTCTTGATTGAAGGGTGCTACATAATGAAGTCATCACAAAGCACAACGAATTATAATTTTTTTTTAATATCAAGGAATTAACTGTAAACTCCATCAAAAACTGGAAAACCTTGCAAAATACATTGTGTCATAAGCCTTCATCATGTATTTCATTTTATTTAAATAATCTGTCAAAATGTTTTGTAGCTTTCCATAGTTTCATTTTATCACTTTATACAGCCTATGATACCAGACCATTTAAGTGATGTTTGCTGAACTTGTTTAGAATTGCAAACTCAAACTGCCGATTTGATGCAAAGAGTAAACCACTTGTTGACTTTTAATATTGGTACATGTTCTGCTGGCCAATCCCTATGATACAATGTGTAATTGAAATAATGCTATAAAATACATACAAGTTAGCAATTTAATACAAGTTTGAGTGTTTTGGGTTTCAGAAGTTGTTTTGTGCTTCCTTCTTTGAAATGGAGATATGCCTTTAAAATAATTTCTTCTGTGTGTTGTAATAAAATCTTCGTAAACGTGGAATAGCATTATTTAATAGAGCAGGATTCATTGTATTTCTTCTTTATGGTTTTAGTTTTATTATTTTCTTCATTACTTTTTCCTTTCTTTTCAAATTCATTTAAGTAAATACTTAAAATGTATTTTGGTTTTTACCTTTTATTTTGAAAACTGCTGTCAACCAGTAATTTATTTTAGTAGCCACTCTTATGAATTAGGCTTTGAACTAATGATTTAGAGATGAGAATTTTGAGTGATCCATCCTAAGCATTTTCTACACCCTCATTCTTGAAGTACTGCAGTAAAATAGGCAAAACATATTTGCGTCTTTGTGAAATTGAATTTTAATCAAATTTTAACAAAATTCTGAATTTCAGATTCAGAGAAGATGGCACAATATTTAGAAGAGGAGCGACATATGAGAGAAGAAAACTTAAGACTTCAAAGAAAATTGCAGAGGGAAATGGAACGTAGGGAAGCACTCTGCAGGCAACTGTCAGAAAGTGAATCCAGCTTAGAAATGGACGATGAAAGGTTTGTATTTGCTAGCCATCCAGATATGTTGACATCGAGCTTATTGATCAATGCTCATACTTCTTTTTTAATATTATAGAATAAGTATTTATAGAAATAACCTGTATATGGATTTGATAAATGTGTCACATTTCAGCAAGGTCCAGGAATATCTTCACTAGAATTATATCCAACTTGTGTAGAGATTGCATGAGTTTTAACAGTGAGAAAGAAAATATTTGTATCTGAAGATCGTTTGGGGTTTTGATAATGTATATTGAAATAAATATAGCTGCGGAGTTGAGATTCATAATAATGCAATCATATTACCTTTGTTTTGCCCCTAACTTGGTAACTGCAGGGAACTCTGTGAGGTAGGAACAGCATCCTTACCTGGGGCTAATTTGTCCTTTGCGGAAACTAAACTGTGTTCAGGAAAATACTAAGGGGTACTGTGTAAAGCCTTAGAGAGTGGAAGCATTTCCAGAACTGTTGGGTTGTTCTCGATGTCCAAACTATAACATCCTTGATTTTTTTTCTCTACTACAAGCTCCATAGCTTGCACTGACCTTATAGATAGTCTTGAGTTTTTCATGGTTTTATATGATGCCTTTTAGTGTTTTCTCACGTCATAGTCATATGACAGTGTTATGTCTTGAAAGAGGTTTTTAAGTACACTTTGAATAAAACATTCTTAATTCTTATCAAATGCTCGTTATTTTCTTGTACTGTTTTGCATTATTCTGGATTTATAGTGGTCCTTTAAAAAAAAAAAGTTACTCTGTGCTGTGTATTCTTCTGATACTGAGATATTTCTTCTTGAGTCATCAGTATATTTGTTATAAGCCATAATTTACCAGAAACAAAGTACCAGATATTTTGTTTCAAGGAGCATCCTTAAAGTTCAAGGTAGCATTTTCATTTTAATGAAATACTAGGCAACTGACATATATTGCAGTGGTATCTAGTATTAAGATGTAGTGAATACTATATAAATTAAGTTGTTAGAAACACAGGTTCTGGTATTTGAACCTACTTTTATTAGCCAAATCTTTTATTCCAATATTTACATTGTAATGGAAATACAGTAAAAACATAAATCTATGTGATTACCAGTATTAAGCCAAAAATGTAGAGTATCCTAATAATTTTTTTTTGTCAGCCAGTTGCAGGCAGTGGTAATCAATAAAATGCAGGAAAATTGGATTAACTATTCTGTACGTCTAAGAAATTTAATTATCATGTTGATTTTCTTGGTACTACAAAGGCATGACAGAATTGTTCCAAAACAGGTATTTGCAGTGTAAGTAATACAAAGTAAAGGGAAGGGTGAAGCAGGTACTGGAGTGGTTAGTCTTAGGAGAACTGTGTAGACAAAATAATTCTGGAACTATATGCAGCAACGATTTAAAAATACAAATTTTTGTCAGCTTACACTGTCTTCCTACAAATGATGGTGGTGATGGATCAGATATCCATTTTTTTTTTTCCAGTTGCATTCTGTTAACTCATGATACTTATTTTTTTGTAGGTGAGGGTAGATGAAGATGCTTTACTGAATGCAAAATACACAGTTCTTCCAAAACTTCTTACTACTGACTAGCAATAGCTTTGTCTTCTCAATCCTCTAGCCTGTTCTCTGGAGTAGTAGAAGTATGTGAAAGAAGGAAGCATGCTAACAGTGTTCTCCTATTCCATACCACCTGATCCAGCTACTAGGATGACTTACAGAAAATTGTCTTTATGTAAAATAAAATAATATTAAATCACAAAGACCACTGCCTTGCTGTAATGCATGTACTGTCTGCATTCCAAGTTACTATATGTGTCGCAAAGGTAGCCTAGTCAGTTCAGATTTGCTAACCTTGCCACTGGTAGCTCTTTAGAAAACTTACATTTAATTAAACTTTAATTTGCCAGTTCATTCATTTTCTGATGTTCTCTATTGTAGCTACTTTTATTACCTGGTCTACCCAAACTTAAACCAACTTTGGTATCACTACGCTGTACTGCCTGTGTTAGGAGTTGTGGCTTAGTAACTCTGAATATCCTAGTTAAAAATCAGTGAGATGCAATATCAAAACATGTTTCAAATAGTTTATGAACTGGCTCACAGACCTCAAAGTAGTCATCATTGTGAGTTCCATCAAATGTGAATATTTTTAATGTTGCTCCTTGTTGTGTTTTTTTCTGCAATCTAGAAGTAAATGTAGTTAACTAAGAATTTCTGGGCAGCACAGTGGTAAAAGGGGAGACAAGTAAAAGTCAGAGGCTGTTAGGTAGGTAATTTTGCCTGCTGTTTTCCTGTGTCCAGTAAAGAAACACAGCTACATGTAATAATTTAAACCCAGGTGCACTGATTTGCAACCCTATGTGCAGGTGGAGGTGAGTAGGGAAACCTCTAATCTGGACAGTGGAATCTGGGTGGAGAGTGCATAAGCAAGTCAACCTGAAAGCTGCCAGCCTAGTGCTGTGGAAAAAATACATAAAATTACTTTTGAGTTCTAAACAGTAAATGACATGTGGGAGCAATTGGTATGATTTTTATCTCCTTTTATATCACACTTGATGGCTGTGAAGAAGATTCACTGTATTCAGTGAGTAAAGTACAAATAAATACCACTAAAATTATTACAGGTGAGGAAAAATGCATTGCCTGAGGTTCTAATCTGTTCATTTTACCACAGTGAAGTATGGCAGGTGTCTTGCAACGCAACCTAGAAGTATCTTAAGTGGGAGAAAGTCCTGGGTTTGAAATGTTTCTCTTCTCTCTGTTCCAGTGGCAAAAGACATGATGAGCAAATGGCTAAACATTGAGACCTGAGGGATTTAAGTAGGAAACAGGGCATATTTTTAACTGTGAGGCCGATCAGCTGTTGGTGCAAATTATCAATGCTTTAATGATTTATTTTTTTTTTTCCCCCTTTTCATGATTTCAGATTAAGGTTGAATACCTTTCTGGAAGATACACTCCAGCCAGACAAGCTATTGAGTTCAATGTAGAAATGAAATGTAAAGTGCAAGAACGTAGTATAGGTCAGATTGAATGACATGATTTATACCTCTGGCCTTAATATGTGCTATTCTAATCGTACGCAACTTGTATGGTTTTAACTGCAAGTGACTAAGATAAGTCCAGTTATTTCCATTGAAAGTTAAGCCGGTATCTGAGCCTTCAGCAATGATGAGAGTTCCTGTCATGACTTCCTAAAGGCGACTGGTCCTTCATTAATCTAATGTGATTCTTATGGGAACTGAGAAAACCACAGTGAAACATTTAAAGCATGGAACATTTTAAAAGGTTTGATCTAATTATTCTTTGCCTTTTTTTGTTAGATATTTTAATGAGATGTCTGCACAAGGATTAAGACCTCGCACTGTGTCCAGTCCTATCCCTTATACACCCTCACCAAGTTCTAGCAGACCTATATCACCTGGTAAATATTTAACCCCGTTTCTAAAATTATTTTATGCATCACATAGTAATGTGCCCTCTTAATATATTTAGCCTTTTCAAAGCTAGCCTGGAGAAAACAACTGCATCATAAATTTAAGAATGGTTATGCTTTAGAAGTCTTCTAGTGCAGTATGTTTTCAGATGGTTCTGTATTACACTGTGAACAAATATTAAATTTCACTTAAGTAGCTATCACTTGAACTTTTATTTCTTTTTTTTTTGCTCTCTTTTTCTCTCTTACTGTCTCTTCTTTTTTCTTCTTTTTTTTCTTCTTTTTGTTTTTTTTTTTACCCCCTCTATAGAAGTTGCCCAATGGGATGCATAGTTCAAACAGACTTCTAGAGTTTGGTGATGAACTAGTAATAAGATTGCTATTGTGCTCTGAATCAAAACTTTTGACGGAAGTCTAATCTTGAACATGTTGGAAAAAATCAGTTTCCATTTATCTTTAGTAGAGGAACAGCTTTTGTTCTGCTATTTTCTGTTGTAAAACAGTAACTATAAAATTAAGAATTCTTTTCTCTAGTACTTTATATAGCAAAGGCAAACTAACCTTTTCTGAGATCTTAATTGCTGAATATATTTTTTTAAGTCAAAGGAAATGTATTTGTGTTACTAACACATTAATTGACTGAAATTTAAAATCCCTTAGAATTGTGCTTGGACATTCTTTAAAAGTTGTTGGCCATGGATGTTATATGGTGATCACAAACTCGCTTGTACATAATGAAGTGAATCCTGCATGCCCTGCTTTCCCAAGTTCACCTTTAGAACCTGTATATTGACACATTCTGCAAGTTGGGATTGAGATATTTTATTACACAAGGTCTGCTAGAACGTATAAAATGTCTTTAAACTTGTTAACTTTCAAGATTGACTTTAGTTTTTTCGGAAGGACTCACAATAATTTTCATCCAGGTGTTGCAAAAGAAGTAAGCGTGTGTGAAAACTAGCTATGGCCATAAGCCATGTTACAGTGTTAGAGATGAGCATTATGATACAGTTTTTCAAGACATTTTTGGGCTTCTGAAATGAGCCAAATCACTTGACTGTGTTTTGCAAGGTATGTTACCAAGAAAACGCTATATGTTTTCTTATCCTTTTCCTGTAACTGCGTGTACAGAAATGTAGTCATGCTAACAACTGTTCTGGAGCAACTACTGTGGACGTTTGTGGTTATATGTGTGCAGCCTTCGTAATAATACAATATTCAACTGAACATCGTATTTGCAGTCCACACCGTGGTTGTAATTAAAAGTATGTGTGGGGAAAACTATCTGGTAACTTACAGGCTTGCATCCTAGATTACCTAGAAATGCACCCAATTTAGATGCTGATGTGTTGGTGCAAGAGTACTGCCAGTTTGTTCCTACACTGGGGCTGAAGCACATTCGTTGTTCCCTGTGGACTTTACTTCCCATCAGCAGTTGATAGAAGAGTGCTGTGTTCGAGTGGGAATTACATCCCACAGACAGGGAATGCTGGAACACAGTCTGAAGCAGAGTTAAAAATAGCACAGCTGAAATTATTGTTTCTAACAGAGTTCACAATTTTGTTGATGTTGGTGCAGTAAATGTTCCAGGCTAGCACTTCTGCTCAGACAGCTACATTACTCTGCTTTACATTCGATAAATTAATATCTGCAGTTGGAAAGTTTCAGACTTCAAAAAAATTGAAGCAGCAGTTTGTTAAAGAACTAATGAGATCAATAGGGAATTCTGTACAGCTGTTTGGTATATATGAATGCAGTAATGGATTAGAGCACTTTGTGTCTAAAGTAGTATAGTAAGACACTGTCAAGTATCGGGACAGAATAATACAACAGTTATATTTTGCATCAATTGTGTGACTTGGCATGTTGTGTTTGGGAAACGATGTGCTTGAATTTGTAGAAACATAATTTGAAAACAGTTAGAAATGCTATAATGTCATATAGATAGCCAGTCAGGTTTAATGGGTCAGATTCTGGCTCCTGAATCTGAGCCTTTTGTGCTTGCGTGGCTTGAGATGCTGCTTTTGAAGCGGGGGTACTGCTGAGATTTCTAGCACAGTGCGTGGAACTTTGAAGACTGTGGAAGTATTGCTAGTCCTAGGCAGCTGGAGGTTGGTTGCTGTAATTACCAGTTAGTCTTTAGTGTAGATAAACTGTTTTATGATTTGCTTCTGCAGCTAGGCTAGATAGAGATGAGCAGCCTTGGGTGTACTACTCTGTTATTGCTTCTTTGACTGCCATACAGACTTGCATTTGTAAAACTTTTGAAGCTGGTTTATCCCAAAGCAGTCCAAAATGGTAATGTTGCAAAGGTGACTTAAAGCATATTTTTTGCCTTTTATTGTTCCGGGCTCTTGTAACACATATTCACCTACCTCAACATTGACTTGTTTCTGTCCTTGTGCTTACAAAAGCACTTAGTTATAAAACATGTGCTGTACAGACAGTTGGATTGTGTAGTCAAAAAGCAGACTAATTTTGTTAATCTGCATTGTTTAACTACTCTAAAGTGACAGTGATTCCACTGGAGTCACTCGTACTTTGCACCAGACATACATTGGGGATGTAGCAGAATCACTTAGAATGGAAGGAAGCAAGGAGAGTAGGTTTTCTTATATCCTTTATTAGTGATTTGAGGCTTCCCCCCCCCCCAAAGATCTTGTCTTAGCAATTGTAGGCACAAACACAGATACATGCAATTAAGGACAAAGCTGGGTAGTGGTGCATGCTGTAGCTGCAGTGGCAGTGTTTTGCACTGATTCAGTGTTGAAGAAGTGTGAAAACTGATAAATCCAATGTGGTATTATAAAAGTTTAATAGACTTTCAGAAATTTTTTTGGTCATAATTTTCCGAAGCAGTTGCCGGTGTCTAATACTAGACAGCTGAGAAAAGTCTTGTCTCCTACCTTAGTGATATTTTTGTCAGAAAGCAATAATGAGCTAAAGGTTTTGGAAAATGACCTGTTTTGAGGAATATTCAAAATGTTCAGAACACTTCAGGGTCTGAACTTTAGGCACTTGGCGGTTGCTGTTTCTGCTCACCTTGGTTAGCTGTACAGGTACTCTGCATTTTTATAAATTAGTTCTTACAGAGAGGAAACATTTCGCTGTAAGAATTAGATATTTGTACTTTTGAATATTAGGCTTTCCTTAATGTGGATAAAACAAGTTGTAATTCTAAATGTTAGTTGCTAGCCTAGTCCTGTTAGCAACTAATCCCAGAATGTTTTAACTTCACAGCCCCAAAGATCTTTGGGTCCCTGCCTGTAAACACCGAGACAAAACAGGAGGAAGCCTGGGTGCAGATCTGGTGGGCCTTGGAGGAGCCACCTACATCCATTTTCTTTGTGGCAACTTGTAGTGCCCCAGTGCTACATGGCTTCTCCAGGCACAACCTCTCTGCTTCTTCAGACTATGTTTTGTTCAGAGAGCCATTCCCTCTGGGGAGAAATGGGAGGCTAGATGGAAACACTTGTGGACTAAAACTAAGCCGCCAGGGGAGCCTTACACCATTTATGTTAAGTGAAAAGTTATGTTTAACATTGTGTAATGTATGTTTTGAAACATATGGTAATTTACTACAAGAAAATAAGCTAATTTTACGTCACACTTTTCAGTACGATAACTATTTTTCAGGTGTCTAATCTGGCAGCTGTTACAATTTCTTAGCCTATCATTGATTTTAAAAAACCTCACTCTTTAGTTTGTAATATAAACAAGAATGTTGATGTTACCTTGTTTTAACAATTTTTAGGTCTGTCATATGCAAGTCATACAGTTGGTTTCACACCACCAACTTCACTGACTAGAGCTGGAATGTCTTACTACAACTCCCCAGGCCTTCATGTGCAACATATGGGACCATCCCATGGTATTACAGTAAGTATTTAAAATAGTAAATACTTGTTACCAATGTCAGTTTGGTTTTTAAAAGTTATAATTGCTTGTCCTTAAGCTTTTTTTACAAAACACTTCAGTAAATGTTTGTTTTTGTCTCCTTACTCCAAGATATCTATTGCTGCTTTCTTCAACCCTGATTTTCCTCTTCACCCCTCAGAAACTGATTCTTTTTGGAGAACCTTATTTTCTGCAAAAGAATAGGATGTATTATCATCTTAAGGACAGTAATAGGTATCATCTTATGGATCAGCAGGCAGGGTGTGAGAAGTGATGTTCTGAGCTACTAAGCCTATCCCGGGAAGTAAAAACATTGCTTTCATTTTTCTCCTAGTCTCCACCATCTGACGGATGAGTCATCTGAGGTTGCTCCAAGCTCAGGTTTTCTTCAGGATGACACACAATGCTACCACCATGTCACTGTAACAGGCAGTTAACTCTTATTTTCTGTTCTCATTGGCAAAGAAGAAAGTTAATATAAACATTTGTTAGGACAATTTCTCATATCTTTCAAGTGGATTTATTTCCTTTTTACCTCTCATGTTTGATGCACTTCTACTTAATCGTGTTTCTTCTAAATATTTGTGGAGTTTAATGAGCAAACAGACCCTAAATATTTGGCAAAATACCTTATAGTTGTTATATCAAGACCATTTTGATTTTTCTCAGCATGTATGGTAGTATATAAATATCCTGCAAGGTTTTTGCATATACTTGTCATTCTCAGATGTGAAAATATGTTTCAATATAATTTTTAGTAGAATGCTAAAATATGGCTGCTTCTAAAACCATTTAGGTGAGCGTGCAAAGGTAATTGATAATTTCATTGAGCAAAGGGCGGTGGGAAGGCTACAATAGTGGGTAGAACAAGAG